CCGATCGATGTCACAATCGATCACACTCGATCTATTCATTCGATCGATCTGACTATCGATCTCACAATCGATCGCACTATCGATCTCACAATCAATCGCACGATCGATCTCACATTCGGTCTCACTGTCAATATCAATATCGATACCACAATCGATCTCACAATCAACTTCATCATCATCATCAACAACATCGTCACCAACTTCTACAACCTGATCATGACCATCATCATCTGGGCACCATCATCATCGTCACCTCATCACCTTCATCACCATCGCGACCCCATCGTCGTCCCCATTATCACCATCAACATCATCACCATCGTGCTACCATCATCATCATATGTTCATCATCATGAACAACGTCTTCAACATCATCATCATCATCGGGGCACCATCATCATCACCAACATCATCATCAACATCATCATCATCATCGGGACACCAACATCATCGTCACCATCATCATCACCACTATCATCATCATCATCGGGGCAACATCATCATCAACACCAACATCATCATGATCATCGGGCCACCATCATCACAATCGTCGTCATCAGCGTCATCATCTTCATCATCAACATCATCATCCGCACCATCATCATCGTGACACCATCATCGTCATCATCATCACGGGGACACCAACATCATCATCAACAATAGCATCATCATCAACCTCATCACCGTCATCATCGGTGCACCATCATTATCATCATCATCTTCATCATCCCCATCATCATCATCACCATCACCAACACATCATCTCATCATCATCAACACCATCATCATCACCATCGAGGCACCATCATCATCAGCAGCAGCAACATCAACATCATCAACATCATCATCATCGTCATCGGGACACCATCATCACCACCATGGCCATCATCATCATCACCATCATCATCAATATCGTCAACATCATCATCACCAACATCACCAACATCATCATCAACATCACCATCATCATCATCATCACCATCATCATCATCATCATCATCGGGACACCGACGGGACACCGGCGGGACACCGCGCGCCACCGGACGCCGGAAAGGAATCATTTGGTCCGGCCGCGCCTCAGCCACTGTCACAGCGGAACAGCGGCGGGACAAGGCGCGCCACCGGTTGCCGGAAGGGAATCATTTGGTCCGGCCGCGCCTCAGCCACAGGAGACTTTCATCTCGCCCGCCCACGCAGCTTCGCCTCGCCCGCACGCACGGCACGCACGAACACGAAACCGAAACCGATTTCCCGGTAGGGGGGCTCTCCGTTCCACTTCGATCTCACCCCCTCACCTCCGACCTCTTTCCTCCTCCCCTGCTTTCCTTTCCCATACATTACCCCGCATGCCTCATCTCCCCTGTCCCATGTATTTCTTGTACGTTTCCTCTTGCGGCTCCTCCTCGTCCTCCTCCTTTGCCGTTATCTGGTTGAAGACATCTGCCCTCCATGCAGGCAGCGTGGACAACAACAAGGGCTCCCGCCTGATACCCCCTCACAATGTATTCCCAAATCGCGCTCTCGCGCGGGACTTCCTTATAATGTCTGCAAAAATCGCGCTCTCACGTAGGACTTCCTCGCGATGTATTCGGACGCTTTGCACTCGACGCTCAGGAATCACGCTCTCGCTGTGGATCCCCTCACGATTTATTTGGGAACCGCGCTGTCGCTTGAGACCTCCTTGAGGTGCATGCAGGACGCACGCTTCAGCAAGCCGCCTGCTCGACCTGGCCGCCGGGGCCCGCCTTCCCGACCCGTCTGATAAGGTCTACCCACCCGATCTGCCCGTCGAGTTCTGCCACGTGTTTTCTGCTCTTGGCCCCCCTCCTGCTATTCTCTCTCGTGCTCCATCCTCCTCAATCCCCCTTGTCCCTTCCTTCCATCGGTCTTCTCTTCCATTGCCTTAGGGGCTGCACGAAATACAAGTTGCAGGTAAGAAAGCTATACCCCCAAAGGGCACGATCGAAGACGACGAGGGCGGGTATCGAAAGTTTGGGATATACGTGTTGGATGGCACGCGAGCAGGTAAGAGCGAACAGGCAACATGAGTTGTGATGTTGTTGTTTATGTTGTTGTTGGTGTTGCTGTTGTGTTGTTTGTTGCTTGTTGTTAGTTGTTTGTAATCGTCGCCCCACCCGCGACCCACGCACGACCCACCCGCGACCCACGCACGACCCATCCGCGATCCACCCGCGACCCACCCGCGACCCGCCCGCCACCCACCCGCGACCCACCCGCGACCCACCCGCGACCCACTCTCGACTCGCCCGCGACCCGCCCGCGACCCACCCACGACCCACCCACGACCCACTCACGACTGACTCGCGACCTACCCGCGACCCACCCTTTTGTTTTGACTCAAAAATCGACGCCTGCGGTGGGCCCGTTGTCAGAGTGAGGGGGCGTTGACTGTTCCTGGGTGCGTGGCTGAAGTGGGGTTCCGCGGTGCGGATTGTTGTTGTTGCGTTGTTCGTTGTTTGTTATTAGATGTTTGTCGTCGTCCCACCACCCGGCCCACGACCCACCCGCGACCCACCCGCGACTAACTTGCGACCCACCCGCGACACACCCGCGGCTCACCCGCGGCACACCAGCGACCCACCCGCCACCCACCCTCGACCCAGTCGCGACCCACCCGCGACCCACTCGCGACCCACTCGCGACCCACCCATTTGTTTTGATTGAAAATTTGGCGCTTGCGGCGGGCTCGTTGTATAATTTGCTTGCAACTCGGCGCATGCGGCGGGCTTCTTCAGAGCCTCGCAGACTGCCGACGATCCCGCCGTCCCCACAACTCTTACCCGGAACTGCGGGGGGCTAAACCCGCAGATGCGGCTAAGAGCGAGGCCTTATATGTGTAGTACCCCGCAGATGCGGATATGTAGCACCCCGCAGATGCAGATGGGGACGTCGGCAAGTTAAGAGCTTCTGGAGAAGCCCGCCGCAGGCGCCAAAGTTTCACACATTATGCGACGAGCCCGCCCTAGGCACTGATTTTTTTCGTTCAGTTACATCGGCGTTCCGAAAGTTCATTCCGATTTGAGAGGCACGGCGCCGCGCGAATGCAGCGCAAACGCTACGCTGGAAGGGCGCGGCAATGCATGCCCCCTGGGCAGGCGAGAGCAGCCGCGCCCCCGTGCGAACCCCGATCCCGCGCGGGGCGCGCTCCTGTTGACAATGGCTCACCCGGGAAAGCGTTTCTTGCGCAGGAAGTCCTGAGCGGTTTGCCCATCGGCGGCTCCTTCGGACGATGATAGGAAGTTCTAAGAGGTTTGCCCATGTTCGGTTTCTTCGGAGTGGGCCCACAACCTCGAGAACAATGTTTTTTTTTGTTTTTGTTTTTGTTTTGCAAGGGGTCCTAGGCGGTTTGCGCACTTTCGGGTCGTTCGAACAGGACCCGTTTTTGTTGGTGCACAAGTCCTATGGGATTTGGCCACTTGAAGGTTGGCCAGAAAACTTGTCAGGTCGTCGAATGACCGAACCCGAAAGTTGTTTCGAAAAGGTCTTATGCCGTTTGCTCATTTTCGTGTCAGTACACCGTTTGGGATTTGAAATTTTAAATTGGGAAGTGGAACCCGATCCCGCGACCCCAGGTGGAGGTCAGGCTCTGCCCTTGCACTGTACTGGGCCCCATTCCGGCCAGACGGGGTGCTGGGCTGCCCATCGGCGCCCCCGCCCGCCCTCGGGCCCCGCGAGTCTTATCTTGCGGGCGCCACCCCAGATGGCCGCGGCGAGCACGGTGGCGAAATTTGGGAAACTTTCGGGTCGGCGCAGTAATGTGGGTAGGTCGCGGGTGGGTCGCAAATGGGTCGATGGTGGGTCGCGGGTGGGTCGTTGTTGGGTCGCGGGTGGGTCGCGGGTAGGTCGTGGATGGGTCGCGGGGTGGGTCGCGGGTGGGTCGCAAGTGGGTCGCGGGTGGGTCGCGGGTTGGTCGCGGGTGCGTCGCGGGTTGGGTTGTGGGTGGGTCGCGGGGTGGGTCGCGGGGTGGGTCGCGGGTTGGTCGCAGGTGGGTCGCGGGGTGGGTCGCGGGTGGGTCGCGGGTTGGGTCGCGGGTGGATCGCGGGGTGGGTCGCGGGGTGGGTCGCGGGGTGGGTCGCGGGGTGCGTCGCGGGGTGGGTCGCAAGGGGTTCGCGGGTGGGACGGCGACGACAAGCATAATCTTCACCACGGATCCCCACTTCAGCCACGCATCCAGGGACAATGAATGACCGTTCGGCCCTCTCTCTCTGATAATGCGTTTCAACATCGGAGCCTCGCATACTGCCGACGACCCCGCCGCACCCACAACTCTTACCCGGAACTGCGGGGTTCTACATGTAATGTGTGTCAACATTGGCGCTTGCGGCGGGCTTCTTCAGAGCCTCGCAGACTGCCGACGACCCCGCCACCCCCACAACTCTTATCCGCAACTGCGGGGGGCTACATATAACGTGTTTCCGAATCGGCGCCTGCGGCGGGCTTCTTCAGAGCCTTGCACACTGCCGACGACCCCGCCACCCTCACAACTCTTATCCGCAACTGCGGGGTGCTACCTGTAATGTGTGTAATGTGTGTCAACATTGGCGCCTGCGGCGGGCTTCTTCAGAGCCTCGCAGACTGCCGACGACCCCGCCGCCCCCACAACTCTTTTCCGCAACTGCGCGGTGCTACATGTAATGTGTTTCAAAAGCCGCGCCTGCGGCGGGCTTCTTCAGAGCCTCGCAGACTGCTAACGACCCCTGCTCCCTCACTCTTATCCGCAACTGCGGGGTGCTACATAAGGAAGCGGGATGGAGGAGGGAGGAGGCAGAAGGATCATCCCTGCTCCCTCCCCCTCGGCGCTCTGTTCCCGAGCCTGTTCCATCCGACCCTCCATGGCCTCCGTCTTGGGGCATACGTCCTCCGGCCACCTCTCCTTTTCGGATTATACTTTTTCGGCGTGTGCTCTTGCTTCTCCGTTTCCTCCCCATGGCCGCCTGCTATTCAGCGTCCAAGGGGGGGAGGAGGGTTGCCATGGGTAGGACTGCAACGGCCTTGTGGAGTTCGACGAATTCAAAAGGCTCTTCGACATCAGCATGAAGGATGCCTTCGCGGAAAGCCCAAACCTATACTTCTAAAATTTATGTGTTGGACGTGTTCTTCTCGAACTCTGTCCAGCACGTCGCCCCCGCCCGCCTCACGGTGGTAGCATCCAGGATGACGACGGCACTGGAAATATGTCGCGACTGCGATTATGAGTATCATCATGATCGTGCAGTTTCGGCCTCTGGGTGCCCTTTTCGAACCCTGGGGGACAATGGTGATCAGGCTTGCGGCAAGAGCTGGTCTCTGCGATGAGGTCGAGAGCTTTGGGAGCCCACGCCATGAAAATTCAAGACGTCGGAGGACCGGGTCCTCATCCTGCTACTGTCTGGGCTTTCGCGGGCCCGATTCGAGGGGCTGGGGCGAAATGGTGTGGGGGGCTGGTCATCTCCTCGCCTTCCGCCTCCTCCTCACACCTGCTTTCTCCCTCGTCCCTTTTGCTTCCCGCTACCTCCGGTCATTTCTTCCCTCCTCCTCCTCCTCCTCCTCCTCCTCCGCTGTTTCCGCTGTTTGCCGCGCCATGAAGGTCTGTGCCCTGCAGCGCCACTCGGCGGCCGAAGCCGCCGCCAGAGGAGGGAGGAGGAAGGCCCGTCCCGCCCAAGCGCGCGGGGCGGCGGAGGAGCGGGGGGCAAGGCCCAGGCGACTCTACGAGCCAGAGGCGCCGGAGGACCCCGCCAGGAGGAGCAGAGGGGAGCCTACCAGGGCCTGGGGAGGAGAGGGGCGGGGTCCAAGGGCCAAGGCGGCAGTCCGAAGGCCTCCGAGAGAAGGGGCGGGGAAGGGCCTCAGTAGGCAAGGAAGGGGGAGAAAGCCTCGGACCACCTCGAGATGCCGAATTGGTCTGTGGCCCGTCGCGCTGCCGCCCAGGATAGCCGCCCCCGTCCAGCAGCCTATCCTTAGCCTGGGCGGCAGCGCACAGGCGCTGGGACCAGGTGGGCAGAAGGCCCACCTGGTGTGCCTCCCCCTAACCCCTTCAGAGCCAGAAGGCCAACGACGATGAACCCCTGGGTCAGGCCCTGGAATATGCAGAGAGCTGGGGGTTATAGGGGGAGGCACCATATTCTGGTCCCTAGGGACCCCGACGCCGCGGCCCCCTCAGGCGCCGTCGGCTGCGAGCTAGCCGAGCCTCGTCGAGCCGCGCCCTCTCAGAACTCGCCGAGCTGGTGATCCTGCACGGGGCCTTGTCGAGGACGGTCTTGTCCGGCCCACTCCCTCGCCTCGTCCAGCGAAGTCGGGGCGCTCCTTCGCCTCGCTGGGCCACGGCGGTAGTCCTGGCCCGTCTCCCTGGTGGTGTGGGTCGAGGGGCTGGAGGAGGTGGGCCACGTCGTCGTTGATGTACCAAACGCTGACGCCGCTTGGCGTGTCGCCGAAGCCCAGCATCTGCTTCACCAGCGCCGTCGCTATGGCCTTGAACCCGTGGTTCTCGATCTTGAGGCACAGCCTGATTATGTTGTCCTCGATCTTGTGGTACTCGACTCAGTCGTGCTGGTCGAGATAACTCTGGTTGAATCTGCAGTACCCAACCTTGTGGCCCTCGACTCAGTCACGGTAGTCATCCTGTTATGGCTTGACTCTGTAGTGCACGAGCTGTGGTCTTCGACTCGGTCGTGCTGGTCATCGCGCTACTGCTTGTGACTGTGATGCCAAACTTGTGGTGCTCTTGCCAGTCATGCTGGTTGAAGCAGTGGCTGACTAGCTGGCCCTCGAACCTGTGGTGCTCGACGCCGTCGTGCTGGTCGGAGTGGTAGTACCTGGCTCGGTGATGCTCGAACCTTCTCCATTCGACTCGGTAGTGCTGGTCAAGTGGTACGTTTGACTCTGTGATGGTAAGCTCTTGGTACTGGGCTCGGTCGTGCTGGTCGAGGTGGTACTGCTTGACTGTGTGGCGCTCGAACTCCTGGTGCTCGACTCAGCCGCTGAGGTACTTGTCGTGCTGGTTGCGGGTCGTTGGGAGGTCGGCTTGTTGCTGGTGATGTGGAATCGGTTGTGGGCGCACTCAGGGCCTCCATGCACCGACTTCAAGTGGTGTTCGTGGCGGCCCCACCTCGTCCCGCTATGGCTAGGGGTCACGGTGCCCTCGGTGGGGGCGAACCCCAGGCCCAGTGATTCTTCTGTTGTCGATGAGGAATGTCTCTGCTGCCCTATGCTTCGCCCGTTGGGCGCTCGGGAGCTCCGTCTCCGCCGTGGGAATGGTGGGGGTGGCGAGCTAGGGCGGACCGCGGGGGCGCGGGTAGTTGCGTCCTACTCCCCCCCCCCCCCTGCCCCTCACCATCCCCCCTGGTAGGCGCGGGCAGTACTCGTCCTGCCCCCCCACCCTTCGAGCCCGTCTCGAAGTTTGATCCTTGCCTCACCAGAGCAGCGTTGACTTGTACATGGTGTAGTTGGCATGTCGTCTGGCTGGTACCTCTGAGCCCTGGCTGCGCGGCCGCTATGTGCATCACTGCTGCAAAACGTGGCGACTGGTGCCTGGAGTGTTCCCACGCATTCGGGGCTTCCCCAGGACTTGCGTCCTGACAGCTCGTGCAAAACTTGGCGACGTTGCCTGAGGTGTTCCCTCGCACTCGGGGCTTCCTCAGGACTTGCGTCCTAACTCTTTTGTACTTGTCGTCAAGGCTCTTCATCGCGATCAGCACCATCAAACTGTGCTCGATCAGCACTCATCGAGTTGGTGGTCCTGCCCAGAGCCTTGTCGGGTCGGTCCTGCAGGGCCCACTCCCTCGCCTCCTCCAACCAGGTCGGGGCGCTCCCTCGCCTCGCTGGGCCACGGTTGTGGTCCTGGCCCATCTCCCTGGTATTGTAGTGGTCGAGCGGCTGGAAAAGTGGGCCACGTCGTCGTCGATGTGTCATCCGTTGGCGTCGCTAGGCGTCTCGCCAAAGCGCCATCTTATCTGCTTCATCAGCGCCGTCGCGAGGGCCTGGCACAACCTGTTCGGGTACTCCTTGGCCGCCGCGGCGCGCCACTGGCCGTCGTCGTTGCTGCCCGCCAGCTCCGCGTGGTAGGTGGCCGTGTGGAAGCACCTCCCGCCTCCAGGCAGCCCGCTTATCTCCGAGCGGAGAGCGGGGAGGGATACCGCCATCAGGCTTGTGGACTTCCTCGAACGCGCCCCGCAGGTGCACTGGTCGAAAGTGATCAGCTCGACTCCCTGCTGGCCCAGGAGGTGGCGCGTCTCGGGGAGCCCCCAGGAGCTGGCGAAATGCTCCGCGGTGGGCTCGCACGGGTGCTCGAGCATGCCTGGGACGCCAAGGTTGAGGCACATGTACATGAGCTCCAGCTGTGTCCTGTATAGGCGATTGCCTATCGCTATTTGTTCCATCTCTGGTCGGGAGAGGTAGCGGAGGCCCAACAAGCTATTGCTGCCCCTCAGGGGTCTTGGTGGGCGACCCCTGCAGGCGTTTTTTTTTTTTTTTTTTTTTTTTTTTTTTTTTTTTTTTTTTTTTTTTTTTTTTTTTTTTTTTTTTTTTTTTTTTTTTTTTTTTTTTTTTTTTTTTTTTTTTTTTTTTTTTTTTTTTTTTTTTTTTTTTTTTTTTTTTTTTTTTCTCAGGGGGGGGGGCAGGTGACGCGCTCGGCTCCAAGTCTCGCACGGTGGTCCGCCGATGTCTCCTGCAAGCCTTCCTGCCTGTGCCATGCTTCGCCACTTGTTGACTGCAATTTCTGATGTCAGGTCGCCGAAGGTCGGGTCGTTGGCCGCGTCCAGGCTGAGCGTGTGTATGTCGCACGAGGCCCGACTGCTTACGCGGTCGAACCAGTCCTGAACGTCTCCCTCTCGGCGACGACCGCTGAACAGATGCAGCACGTATAGTGTCCGAGCTGGCCTAGGCCTGGGTATAGTAGCTGGCGGCGGCGGCGGTTCCTCGATGAAGGGGGGCTCGAGGTCCTGGTAGTGGCCGCTGTTGCTGTCGTCGCTGTCCTCGTCCGTGTGTATCTCTGGAGGACGAGCAGGGACTGCAGGCTTCTCGGCCCAGCCAATGGGCCTGCCAGCCCTTTTATTCGCCTGCTGTTGGTCTCGCACCACTTGCTGGTTGTGCTGCAGCTCGGATTTGCTGAGAAGCGCTGGACGTGTTCTTCGCCAGTGTCGAGCGCACTTGCGCACACGCAGCAAGTGCTTGACCAGTCTGTTCGTGGTGTGGTAGTCCATGCCGCATCCGTAGCATACCGAACCAGTTGCCCACGAGATGGGATGCCCCGACGAGGTGTGGTCCTTGGTGATGTGGGCTCGTAATACTGCTGCACTGAGCTCTGTTCCTCCTCCTCCTCCTCCGCATCCTCCTCCTTCTCCTCCTCCCCCTCCTCCACCTCCAGCCTCCTCCCCCTCGTCGTTCATCTTCCCTCGCTCCTCCTGCCACCCCCCTGCCTCCTGCCTAATTCCCCTCCCACCCTCTTCTTCCTCCTCTCAATCCGTCTGTGTCTCCTGGCCTGCTCCTGCTCATCCCCCCTGCTGCTCCTCACTCCCCCGTGCTCTCTTCTCCTCGTCCTCGTCGTCTTCACCGCACCCACACTCACACCCGTCTTTCTCCCCCTCTTCTCTCTTTGCCTCGGCATTCTCCTTTACTCCTCCCCCTCCTCCTCCTCCTCCTCCTCCTCCTCCTCCTCTTCCTCCTCCTCCTCCTCCTCTTGCTCGTCGCCCTTGCCCTCCTCCTCTGGCTCTTTCCCACCATCTTCGTCTTAGGCCGCCTGCTCTTTTTTTGTTTTTTTTTTCTCTCTCTCTCTCTCTCTCTCTCTCTCTCTCTCTCTCTCTCTCTCTCACTCCTCCCATCCACAGTTACACAGTATGAATACTACCCCTCTCCCCCGAATATGTCCTGAGAGTAGCCGCCCGTCCTCCGCGTATGGTTTTTTCCCCACATGTTTCGTGGGGTTCTGGTTTTCTTCCCTGTCGCGCCGCACCCGCGTCTCACACCTCCCCCCTCCCCTCCTCCTTCTCGCACAGCACAGCACAGCACAGCACGGCACGGCACGGCACGGCACGGCACAGCACAGCTCACCGCACAGCAGCACAGCACAGAACAGCACAGCACAGCATACCACACAGGGCATTCCTTCGACGCCACAGGGGGTGGGGGTGCACACAACGCACACAACGCGGCGTCTATGCGGGCCATGGCGCCAGCCGTGGCATTTCCTCGACACCAGAGGGGGTGCGCAGGGGGTGGTCTCCCTATCCGCGCCAGGGTCGTCCAGGCATAGCAGGCGTGGCATTTCCTCGACACCAGAGGGGGTGCGCAGGGGGTGGTCTCCCTATGCGCGCCAGGGTCGTCCAGACATAGCAGGCGTTGCATTTTCTCGACACCTGAGGGGTTGCGCAGGGGGTGGTCTCCCTATGCGCGCCAGGGTCCTCCAGGCATAGCAGGCGTGGCATTTTCTCGACACCAGAAGGGGGTACGCAGGGGGTGGTCCCCGTATCCGCGCCAGGGTCGTCCAGACATAGCAGGCGTTGCATTTTCTAGACACCAGAGGGGTTGCGCAGGGGGTGGTCTCCCTATGCGCGCCAGGGTCGTCCAGACATAGCAGGCGTGGCATTTTCTCGACACCAGAGGGGCTGCGCAGGGGGTGGTCTCCCTATGCGCGCCAGGGTCCTCCAGGCATAGCAGGCGTGGCATTTTCTCGACACCAGAGGGGGTGCGCAGGGGGTGGTCTCCCTATCCGCGCCAGGGTCGTCCAGACATAGCAGGCGTGGCATTTCCTCGACACCAGAGGGGGTGCGCAGGGGGTGGTCTCCCTATGCGCGCCAGGGTCGTCCAGACATAGCAGCGTGGCATTTTCTTGACACCAGAGGGGCTGCGCAGGGGGTGGTCTCCCTATGCGCGCCAGGGTCGTCCAGGCATAGCAGGCGTGGCATTTTCTCGACACCAGAGGGGGTGCGCAGGGGGTGGTCTCCCTATCCGCGCCAGGGTCGTCCAGGCATAGCAGGCGTGGCATTTCCTCGACACCAGAGGGGGTGCGCAGGGGGTGGTCTCCCTATGCGCGCCAGGGTCGTCCAGGCATAGCAGGCGTGGCATTTTCTCGACACCAGAGGGGGTGCGCAGGGGGTGGTCTCCCTATGCGCGCCAGGGTCGTCCAGGCATAGCAGGCGTGGCATTTTCTCGACACCTGAGGAGGGTGCGCAGGGGGTGGTCTCCCTATGCGCGCCAGGGTCGTCCACGCATAGCAGGCGTGGCATTTTCTCGACACGTGAGGAGGTGCGCAGGGGGTGGTCGCCCTACGCGTGCCAGGGTCGTCCAGGCATAGCAGGTGTGGCATTTTCTAGACACCAGAGGGGGTGCGCAGGGGGTGGTCTCCCTCTGCGCGCCAGGGTCCTCCAGGCATAGCAGGCGTGGCATTTTCTCGACACAAGAGGGGGTGCGGAGGGGGGTGGTGGCGCGCGCCAGGGTCGTCCACGCATAGCAGGCGTGGCATTTTCTCGACACCTGAGGAGGTGCGCAGGGGGTGGTCGCCCTACGCGTGCCAGGGTCGTCCAGGCATAGCAGGCGTGGCAGTTTTGATGCGCAGATGTCGTCCAGCAGGCGTGGCATGACACCAGAGGGGGTGCGCAGGGGGTGGTCTCCCTATGCGCGCCAGGGTCGTCCAGGCATAGCAGGCGTGGCATTTTCTCGACACCAGAGGGGCTGCGCAGGGGGTGGTGTCAATATGAGTGCCAGGGTCGTCCAAGCATTGCAGGCGTGGCATTTTCTCGACACCAGAGGAGGTGCGCAGGGGGTGGTCTCCCTATGCGTGCCAGGGTCGTCCAGGCATTGCAGGCGTGGCAGTTTCTCGACACCAGAAGGGGTGCGCAGGGGGTGGTCTCCCTATGCGCGCCAGGGTCGTCCAGGCATAGCAGGCGTGGCATTTTCTCGACACCAGAGGGGGTGCGCAGGGGGTGGTCTTCCTATCCGTGCCAGGGTCGTCCAGGCATAGCCTCTAGTGCGGGATTGCGTATTACCTCTCGTATCCAAGTGCCAGGCGACGCCGAATATAACCGTCGCAGATGACTCCTCAACCCCTCCTCTCCCTCCACACGTCCTCCCCCTCCTTTCAACGACCACAGCGGGCACCTGAGAGCGTGACGGCGGTGGTAGCGCGGTTCACACAAGACATAAAATCAGTATGTGGGGTTCCTCGGTAGCGTAATTTAGACAGATGTTGCGCGACCGGGCTTTTCTTTTCATGTGTTTTCTCAATTCGATCCCTCCGTATATTGTTGCTTGCGCACAGAATTCGCGCGAGCTGGCTTTTCGTGTCCATCCGATAGTTCAGAAACTGTGGTCCCGCTGCAGCGTAGGCCGCATTTTCGGATCGGCGCTGTGCTCCCGTGGTTCAAAATGGCGCTCCCGTCCCAGCGTGGGCCACTCTTCTGGATCCCAGAGGTCTCGCAGAATTCACAGGTCTTGCATGTTAGACAGGTGTCGCAGGTTTCGCATGCCCCACAGGTCCAACAGGTCCAACAGGTCCCACAGGTCCCGCAGGTCCCACAGGTCCCGCAGTTCCCGCCGGCGCCACGTGCCCACAGGTCTCGCAGATTTCACGGGTCCCACAGGTCCCACAGGTGTCGCAGGCTTACAGAAGTCCACAGACGAATGCGCATAATCAGATGGGGTCTTCTGTGGTGTTCCAGGTCGGCTTTGGCACGCGTCAGTGGGTAAGGAAGGAAGGGGTGGGAGGGAGGGATATGATGTCAGATATGGCGCGAGCGAACAAAGCTTCTCCTAATCCCCCTTCCTGTCCCCTCCCCCAAGACGGTTTGACGGGCGCCCCGCTAAATCGTTATTATTTCTTCGGACGGTGGTTTCATATCAAGAGACACCATCTTCTTCTACTCATCCATTTTCCCCTCCTCCTCTTCTCCTCCTTCTCCTCCTCAACCTCCTCTTTCATCCTGACTCCTTGTACTTTCCCTTCCTCTTCCTTCCCCTCCTCTCCGGCCCCCCCCCCCAATATGTCCCTGAGTCCCTCATCATCCCCTTTTTTTTCTGCTGCATCGCCTCCGCCTCACGTGCACGCTTACATTGCACACTTCCCCTTCGCACAGGTGGGCTTCGCTTCCAGGGCCCAGCTTTTCCTCAGATTCAGATTGTTTTGTTTTACTCCTGCTCCATTGTGGCTACCATGGCGGATCACAATCACACGCCAGCAGAAGTACATTAGATATGATTCGTGGCCTCCAGGTGGCTCCACCGAATGCCCCAGCGGCTGTGCTCGCATGCGCCCACCGCACCCATTTCGACACAACCCTCGCACGTTTCATGGGCTCATAGGGAGCTCCACCGAAGGCCCCAATGGCTGCGTTGGCACGCGCCCACTGCACCCATCTGAGCACCGCTCTCACACGATTCGTGCCCCCATCGGGAGCTCAACCGAAGGCCCCAGTGGCTGTGTTCGCATGCGCCCGCCGCACCCCCGTCCGCACACCCACTTCACGTTTCGTGGCGCCATGGGGAGTTCCACCGAAGGTCACAGTGGCTGCGTTCGCATGCGCCCACCGCACAAATTTCGACACGCATGCGTCTACCGCACGAATTTCGGCACACCCCTCACACGCTTCGCGGCCCCATAGGGAGCGCCACCGAAGACCCAAGCGGCGGTGTTCGCATGCGTCCGCCCAACCCATGTTGGCAGACCGAACACACAATATGTGGCCACATAGGGGGCTTCACCGAAGACCGTACTCACAACTGCGTTGCCCACAGCTGCATATGGTTGGGGCTTTCGCAAGGCTGAAACACAAACAAACGCCGGCAGGAGTACAATAGAGCACGGCTGTCAGACAATGGCCGATTGGCTGGTTACCTCTGCTCCATGGCCGCAGCGACTCGCTGACATTCTCAGATATCCAGTTGCGCTGCCGCGCGATTCCGCCACCGCGGGAGGTGGGCGCCTTTGGGTGGGGGGGGCAGGGTGGAGGTTCCACAGGCCTCCCCTGCCCCAGGCGTCGTGTTCGGAGTGGTTTCCTGCCCAGGAGGCCAAGTCCGTGCGTCGGGGGGTCTTCACGAGTGCTTCGCAAAGGGCGAATTGGCCCGACGCACACCAATCGCTGCAAGCGCGGTGGCGGACCTCGCAAAGCTTATGTCGAGAAGCTTTTGCCAGCGTGCGCCTCGTACGCATCGTGCGTTTTGATCGTGCGCGTGTGCCGTAGACAACGTCGTAGTCAGTCGTGAAGGATGATGCATGCCGGGTCTGACTGTCACCTCGTTTGTCTATTTCTCCTCCAGCTATGCCTCACGCTTAGCCCTCCGAGTTCCAAGGTCCTTATCAGTTGTCACCCGCGCTTTTTTGTCAGACGGAGATTTGGATCTTACAAACACTGGCTTCGCAGGTTCTCTTCTTCCCGTGTCTGTATCAATGTCGGTTCAAGGCTCAGTTATGTACGACAGCGGATCATAGAGCCACAAGTTTCGTAAGTTTCGGTCGCGCCCCGTTCCAATGAGAGAGTCGCTTGACGACAATATGATGCACGAGCGCAGTTTACAGTGGCACGCGATTGACATGGTTGCAAGTGTTGTTCGAAGGCGTGTCATTGCAGGATGCAGGAGGGCATTGCGAGGCATGCAAATCGCCGTCCGCCAGCGCCGTGCCACCCATGTGGCTGCTTGGGTTGCGTTGTGCCCGCGAGAATCGCCATGGCTCTTTGATGGAGTTCTTCTTCTGTCAGAACCACTTCAGCAACGTGCAATGAAGGCTCGAAGTATGATCGCATCGCCCCCCAGACTGCAATTCGCATTGAAGCTTGCCGAAGGTCGCACATACGAGGAGTGCAGCTTCAAGAAGACGTCTGCTTCTGGCAAGACCTGTTGGCTGCAGTTCCCAAGAGGGACGCGCCCGCACGGGACACACAAGTTCAATGTTTGGTTCCAAGAGTTGCGGAATCTTGGTTGAGTTGTGATCGCCGGGAGAAGCGTGTCGAGCAATTGGAAGAGCAATTTCGTTACGCGATGCTCCAATCCGGGCCTTCCCTGCAGGACATTATGAGGTCTGCAGTGGCAGCTCTATTGCCGCCAAGATCTAACCGATGCAATCGCCGTTCTGGCGAGCACATGGGCATCTCTGCAATGCTGAGGCTGCAGCAAGGTCTGCAAGCACGCTTACGCAGAATCGTACTGTTTGAGAGTGGATGTGCAAGCTCGTTGCTTGCAGAATCTGTTTCGCAGTGCCTCTTGCACGACTCTAGAACAGGGCATGGTATTGGATCAGCTGCAGGGAAGTCACTGCATGGTATTGGTCAGCTGCATTGGATTGCTATTGGCATGGTATTGGATCATGGATGCGTGTCCAGGCACGTCTGCAAACTGTCTATCTGCCTGCGGGAACCTAGCCTCCGCGCAAGCGCAACAGCGCTGCGTGCAGGATGTTGAGTTTAAGGCCAGCGCGTGGTCTGAAATCGAGTGGGTCTTAAATTCGACCTCGTTCCCTCTATCTTGGGGCCGCTTCGTGGTTCTGTTGGGCTGTCGTGGAGAGTTATCGGGCAGCAGTGGGGCCACACGGGTATAGTATCGAGGCAGTGTTGGGCCGTCTTGGAGGCTTCTCGGGCCCTATGAAGTCTCCCCGATGCGATCTGAGAAGGAACGTCATCAGCAGTACACAAACATGTGTTACAGTGACTGGTCAATGGTGTTCACTCTCCGTGGAGGTCTCTTGGAGGCTTACTGGGGCTTGTTGGAGAGATTTTGCAAGTCTCTGGAGACCCGTTTGGCCGCCTTCACTTGGCCTGAGGGCCCGTGTACACGCTAGGTCAGTGCCTCGGCCTTAGGCTCGACCTTCTTCCGGAGGTCTTGGAGCCCTCTTGAGCAGCCTTGGAGGGTTTTTGGGCGCTCTTGAGGCCATCTGGGTGTCCTCTTGAGGCAGTGTTGGCCACCTTGGGGGGCCTCCTGGAGCTCTCTAAATTCTTTCCAATGCGATCTGACGAAGACAGTCTTCGGTAATAGGCATCATGTGACGATCTGCATTTGTTGATCCCATTATGCTCGCCTCCTCGTGCCTTGCTGTAGACTCCTTTGGGAGTCTATTGTAGGCTTCTTGTGCTCTCATGGGGTATCTTGGGAACGTCCTGGATCCTTTGGGAGCTCTCTGGGCAGTCTCGGGATGGTTTCGGGGCGTCTTGCAGTTGGTTCGCACTGTTTCAAGTGTCTAAGGGCCGTCCAGAGGCTGAAGAGGGTCATTGAACAGCACATTCATAGGGGGGAAGTGTCGAACCACGCATGCGGGTTAGGTGGGACGGTCGGCCCTAGAAACATCGAAGGCACTTTACCGTACAACGGAGCAGCATTCTATCACGCCCCAACGTGCCGCTGGCATTTTTGCGGATTGGTGTTCCCTCATCGAGCACGTGCGGCTCGTATGTTGCACGATTGTCAGCGGATGGTGCGGGGATTTGTGCTCCTTCCTTCCGCACAGCAAACAGCCCTCGTCGAGTTGGATCCTGCTCAGCGGTGTTTGGGTCGAAATGGTGAATTTCCAGCTGTGGCAACAACGTGTCATAGTTCCTCAAAGTGGCCACACAGGATGCCCGGTTGGATACACTGAATTGTCTGGTTCCGTGGATATGGAGATCGAGGCTGACGGTGATAGTTCTGTAAGTATGAATGTATGCCCCCATGGTCTCCTGCGTCAGAATTGCCAAAGGTGTGGAAGCCACGAATTCTGCGAGCATGGGAAACGGAGAAGGCGATACACAGACAGGCTACATTACTACAGGATTCGTCGTGAAACGCCCGAGGAAGTCAGGACATTTGTCATTTCGAGTGCTGCGAACGCACATACCTTCGCCAGCACGAGGGGAAACGAGGAGAGGGGATTCTGCTATCCTGATCAGCCCAACAATTAGCACGAGTGTAGGGCCGACGAAACGGCGCGGCCGAGAACTCAACCACCGCGTGTCGCCCCCCCGCGGCGGCGGCGTTGGCGCCCGCGCTCCGACGCGGTACACTGGCTGCCGCCGCAGAGGCCATCGGCCCCAGCCCCTGAGCCGGGCGGCGAGCGGAGGATGGGGCCTGGGGGCCTCGAGCTGGGGGGGGAAACCAGCAAGGGGGGGAGCCCAGGTCGCCAACCCCCGATCGCCCCCCCCCTGGGGGGGACACACCCCACGCCCCAAAATGGAGCCCCACCTCCGCCGGTCGTTGGGTCGGTCGCCCGCCAGTTCTCGGGTTGGTCGCTCAGGACCTTCGTCCAGTGGCCCCCACCGGTTTTGCTTGCCCGACCTCCAGCCGGCAGTCGACCATTTTGGGCTCCCCGACCGTCCCGATGTGCTCACAGGGCCCCCAGCTTATGCGGGGGTGGGTGGAGGAGGAGGAGGAGGAGGAGGAGGACGAGGAGGAGGAGGAGGATTTCAGGATTTCCGCCATCACGTAGTGATATAAGGCTGAGCTCAGCACTTGGGAAACAGGTCGCGATCGATTCGATCCAAATACTCGCGCCTGGCCTTGGTGATTAGGTGGGGGCGACAAGGATTACCTAAGCCCCTGAGCTGGGCCTGACCGAAAAATCCGCACGACCCACAAAACCATACTCCAAGGTCTTTGTGATACCGAAGGGCGTGTGAGGAATGCGTCCAGCCACCTGCCAAGTGTAAACTCCGTCCAAGGGGGGCTCGGGATAACTTGGCATTCACGGGCAGGGGAGGGATGCAAACGCTTTTCAACCATTCACACGAACTGAAACACACCGAGCACGCTCTGCCATTTTCGGTCAGGGTGTGGGCAGAGGCGAAACGGGCCAAGGCAAGAGGAGGAGGAGGAGGAGGAGGAGGAGGAGGCCGAGGGGCAGGGGGACCAGGCGGGGCTAGGGGAGCCCCTTCCTTGGTCTTGACGGCCTGGGAAGCCTGGATCGAATCTAACCCTGCTCTGAGCAGACGCCTCCTGACTAGTCTCGCCTTACGTTCAACTTGATGCACTCGAAATCTGTCGGTCTCTGGGACCCTGGCCAGCTTAGCTGCTGCTCCAGCCAGCTCGTCTACACAAGTGTTGCCTATTATTAGCCAGCTATCCCACCCCCGCTGGACAACTTCTCTGGCTGAGAGGTGGGACGGTACCTGCGCAACAACAATGTCACTCGGCCTTCTACCCTGAGCACTGAGGGTGAGACCGATGCTGCGCCACAGATCAGCCTGAGGGCCCTGAGGACAGTCGAACGCGGAGGCGTACCACCCTCGAGCAACCTCGGCACAGTCGGTAACGTAAACTACGGGCCCCGTCGTGAATCGGACAGTCCATTCTAAAGCCTGGATCTCGCCCCTGGGGACCGTTTGGGCCGACCCCACCAGGGGCCCGAAAAGGTACGGGCCCAGCTCACACGGGTCAAAACTCTGAAACGTGGCAACCGCGCACCCTACTCTACGAAGCCTACTGTCGTGGGTATCTCTTCCCCCTGAGGCGTCCCCGAAAATAAAAATCGGCGAGTCCTGAGTCCCGTGGCCGAGACACCCAGGACCGAGACGCCCCTCGGGCAGATTTCCTCCAAGAAGGGCTTCCTCCTGAGCAGGGGCGGGCACGCGAGTCCACTCACTGGGGATCACTCCCCTCATCCAAAAACACGGCCACGCTTCATGTCCTGCCTGAGCCTCAGCGACCAAGCAGTCCGATTGAGCATAGGCGGCTGACCCTTGGTTTTTGCTGCAAAGCCAATTGCGATGCAAAGGCGAGTCTGCCACCTCGCCGCATCGCTCGCACAGGTCGGACGTGCTGAGATTGACCATGCGCTTGCGATCCTGAGTCCAGTATCCGCCCGTGGCGATGGTGACCATCAGCTCTGACAACTGACGCCCCTTCTTGGCATGGAGGAGCATCGCAATATGTGCACGGTAACTCTGCCAGTCTGCGCCCTGCTCCAGGCCGCCTCCACAGAACAAGCCCGCTGCCTCCTGCCAGAGCTGCAAGTACAACGTGTCCTCGAACTCCTGCAAGAGCGGCCGCGCCTGATCCAGGCCAACAAAGGCATCTGTGGAAAACTCCCACGTATGCTCCATGTTGCTCCCGTCACTCGGCACCTGCCACTCCGTCGCAGACTTCAAGTTCCATCCAGCTTGTAGCAAGTACAACACTGCAGAAGACATGGGCCCGCGTACGTGGCGACTACGCTGGCCTGGAGGAACCTGCTGCAAACCAGACACTGTGCGGGACCACGCTAGTTGGATAGATGGCCGAAGGCGAGGCTCGCGCAACCAGCAATCCAGCCACTGCGTGATGCACAACCTCGGCAACACCACACCTGGATCGGCACCAGGGAGACGGAGCGCAAGCAATGAGGTCAGACATCGTCCCCGTTTGTGTGACCCTGCGGCTGCACCTAACCTCCTCCTGTGACTGAGCATCACCGAGCCACAGCATCCCAGCACTTGGTGGCCATAAGAGGCCGACGCCTGAGGACCCGTCCTCTGGATCATGCTCGTGGTCGTCCACCTCCTCGCAGCAGCAGCGAACCGCCGAAGCCGCTGGTGAGAGGCCCCCGACTTCTTCACCCTTTTGCGCGCCGTGTCCCTTCCATGGCGACGACCCCCCGCTAGGTCGACCCCGAGGTAGGCCGCCTGCAGCACAGGTGTGATCTCGATGCCTTTGCGACGCAGCCTCCGCGCCACCTGCACCGCGTCCTGGTGGGCCGAGCACACCACCACACTCTTCGCCGCGAGGAGGAGGAGGGAGGAGGAGGAGGAGGACAAGGAGGAGCAAGGCCCGCAGAGTGGGTTTCGGACCCGAGGCGAGGTTCAAACTTCCGTGCCTCACCACGTGAGCCTGTACGCCCTCGAGCATCAAGCGGCAGGCCGGCGGCGCTATCAGGTCAAGCGGTGCTCACAAACAAGACGCGGGACTGGAAGGAGGGAATGCAGGAGGAGGTGGCCTGGAGGATAACCCATGCCGGCCTACGCACGAGCGGGTTTCCTCCTTGTGATGGTTGCGTGGGGCGTCTTGCTCCCGTACCCCGCGCCGTGCAGCGCGCGCGCGCGGCGGCAGTCGCGCTCTCATGTTGGCGCCTATATGGCTGGCAGAGCCATCGGGGGTGCCCACTTCCCCCTTCTCCTCCCTCTCCTCTTCCTTCTGCTCCATGGCTGGTGCTTTCCGTGGTGGAGCCCCCTTTTCCTAAGTCGGGAAGTTGGCAATGTCAATCGTCATTGCTCATTGCATGTGGCCCATGGAAGCAAGGTTGAGCACTCAGAGTCAAGCTCGCGTGCTGGTAAGCGTCGGAGAATGTTTCCCCAACAGTGCTTGCACCATGGGCCCCCTTAGTTCTCCTCAAAGTGTTTGACTGGCGTTTCCGGGTTTTCGGCTGGTCGTCGCCCGTGTCTGCCTCATGGCCACTTGGTGCGGCCGCTAGTCCTGGCCAGTCGCCGAACGTAGCATCGTGGTGTGGGGCTTGGCGTTACTGGCCTTCGGGGCCGCATCGCGCGCCGTCCGGCGCCACCACAGAGCTTAGACCACATCTCTCGTACCACATAGGCTGCACAATTCGGATTGCACGACATCGATTGCACCACATACAATGCAGTACACAAAGTACACTGCGTAGCTTCTACCACATGGTTGGTCTACATCGATTGCACCACATTCTGTGCACCACATAGCTCTCAACCCGTCGATTGCACGACTAATCGTGTACCCCACCATCGATACCTTCTCAGTCAATCCCATTTCGACTCTTCACCTACAGTCAATATTGCACCCCAATCTTGCACCCACTTGGACTCTGGCGGTCAGCCGAGGCCAGGGTTGTCCCCTTGACTCCGCGTGCTGTAATATCAACGAATATCCAGCTGCCTGCGGCAAGCCCCGCCACCGCGCCTGTGCAACAGCGCAGCAGAAAAGAGAAAGAGACCGAGTGCAGGAACAGCGCAATTCCCACCTGGTCTGAATTGGGACCAGTCGTGAACTCGACCTCGTCTTTGTCCGCAGGGGTAGGTCGAGTTCACGCCCCACTGCAGTTCAGCGAGCTGTCTGAACTGAGGCGAGTCGTGAACTCGACCTCATGTTCGTCCGCACGATAGGGAGGAGGAGGATGGGGAGGAGAGGGGGGAACTGAAGGCACGTAGGGGAAGTCCTCTTAGGGGTTCTCTTTGGGCGTCAGTTGGGCTTCTTGGGCGCTTCTTGGCCGTCTTGGTGCCCTCTTGGACCGCTTCAGGACCGTATTGGGCCATTGGGGCTATTTGCGGAGGCTCTTGGGCGATCTTGGGATTCTCTTGGGTCGACTTGGCCTCCTTTGGGGGCTTCCTGGGCTGTCTTGGAGATATCTTGAAGACCTCTTGGGCCCTCTTGGGCTGTCGGAAACCCAAACAGGTGAGAACTGCAGTATCGTTGACAAGCCTGCTGCGGGAAATCAATGTTTTTCACCTCCTCGGGCTCGCCTTGGGGGCCTCTTGGAGCCACCCTGGGCCGTCTTGGAAGCCTCTCGAGCTGTCTTGAGGCCGTCTTGGGAACCTCTTGAGCCGTTTGGGGCCGTCTTAATGTCATCTCAATTGTCTTGGACGTCATATTGAAAACCATCTTGGCCGTCTGGAGGCCGAAAAGAGCGCCGGAGAGCAACTTAAGGGGGGTGCGGTTTTTGAACCACGCGTGGGGCGAGGGGGGAGGCGGCCACAGAAAAAGTAAAGAAAATATGCCAGGCGAGCATTCTAAAACGCCAACTCCGTGCAGGCACTGTGGCGGATACTGCCAGCTGGAGCGTTACAGTCAGGATGCTGAAGTAAGAAACGACCTAGAAAGAACGAAGCCCCTGGTTAGCCCAAAGGCGCCCGCGTGTACGAGGAGTGCTAGAGGAGCAGCCATAGAAGGATCTAAGAAACCCAGCTGAGAAGCGCCTCTTGGCAGATCCCCGATCAAGGCATACCATCCGGGCCTGATGCGCGCACATGTCAGGACTGTTGACGAGCCGTTGGTGCCCAGCGAGTTCAGACATAATCTATCAAGAACCACTAGCTGCCAGTCGGCATACACCATGGTTGTGCGCGTTTCGGTGAAGTCATACCGACACCACTGTCCCTTTGCCATTCTGACAAATGAAACAATGCAGGTTGCACCCGCGCGCATGTCGAAATCATTCGGCAATCCTCGCGCGTCCGGCAACTATGTCAAATCACATAGGGCGGGCCACGCGCGCGTCGTCGCGTTTCTCATTGCGAAATCCGTCCCAGACCATTGGTTTCCCAGGCATTTGATCACAGTAGTCTTCAAACTCAGATTGCACCCGATAGTTCTTCAATCGAACACGTGCAAGGATTTCAAAATGTCTGCGCGTGCGCACTCCATATTTTTTATCGGCACCACTGTTCTTATCATCGCCAGCGTTGTCAGCATCACCATCGTGTTCATCACCATCACCATCGTCGTCATCCTCCCCACCGCCGTCGTCAACATCATCGTCATCGTCGTTGTCGCCGCCCTCGACATCAGGGTCACCATCACCACCATCATCAGCATCATCACTTTCATCACTCGCGCACCCAAGCCAATAATCTGCGCGAAAGAGCCTCTCGCGCCACTACGCCAGTTGAGTTTTGCCTGCTACGTGCGTGTGGGTGGGTGGCACAGTTTCTCGAGCATCGACGTTGACGAGCACTGGAGGCGGTCACACGCGAGGTGGTCAAACATGACTTGTTCCAAGTAGACTGCACCAGGTAGATTGGTAGATTGCGTCTCGCAGCTTGCACTGTACAGGCTGCACTCCGTTCGTTGCACAAAATGTAGTACACTTCAAAGGTTGCACCACGTACATTGCCCTGCATTACTGGGCCCCTCCGATTTCACCGCGTAGATTGCTCCCCACAGCCTCACCACATACATTGCACCGAGTTTTATTGCACCCCATGTTGAACGCTGTATAGTTTAAGATTCACTGTTCTACTCTCAGTCTCACAGCAATATACTGTCTCTGTCGCGCTCTTATTTTAGCATTTGCTGTTTCGATGTGTGCTTCTCGTTTTCTAGTCAACAAACTTCTCTACATCTTTCACCCGAACTACTTGCATCGATGGGCCCTGTCAGTAATTAGGCATATGGGCTGGTCGCATGTGTCTTCCACCGTGTACCGTTTCCGGTCTTTTGGCCCACCGCCTTATCTCGCTCCTCCCTTCATCCGATCCTTGCCTTTTCTCTTCGACCAATTCGTCACTGCCGCCAGTGGCACGACTTCGTCAAGTCTCTCGCCAAGGGTGCCAGCGACATGCCGTCGAACCTGACCGACACAGAGCTGCGCCGTGAGTTCGTGAAGATCGACAGGGATTGCCTCGGCCCCCCTCTCCAGGTTAGCTGCCCTGGTGCGCCCGTTTTGAAGCGCAACACGTGCCGTGTTCAAAACGTCCGTGTTGACACGTTGCGTGTTGGCTCGGCATGTGTTGGCCCACGTTTGGAGAACGTATCGCGCCAGACCTACGTGTTCAGTCTACTTGTTGAGCTACGCGCCAAGACGCCAGGTGTTGCGTATTGCATATCGGGGCAGCTAAGCTCCCCAGTCTTCCGGCGATTTGGGAAAATCTCACCAGAGCGTATTCACGATTTTTGCGGTCGAGCTGCCGTTCCTGGGCCCCGCCGTCACACGACGGCTCGGGATGAAAGGCCAGCCCCAGGGGCCGGTGATATTCAACAAAAGCAGAGTGACCGGAGGCCCCGCCGGAGGACTCGGCCTACCTCCTCCAACTCCCCCCCTCCTCCGCCTCGGGGCTCCTTCCAACTCCTCCTCCGCATCCTCGAGGACCTGCACCATCAGTCCTCCACCTTCTCCTCCTCCGCCTCATGCTACGTGCGCTCACATTATATGCATAAGTGTAGGTATGCATTATCTGTATGCATTATCTGTATGCATGTATGTATGTATGTATGTATGTATGTATGTATGTATGTGTGTATGTATGTATGTGTGTATGTATGTAAATCTGTATGTATGCATATATGTATGTATGTATATATGTATGTACGTACGTACGTATGGATGTATGTATGTATGTATGTATGTATGTATGTATGTTTGTATGTAGGTATGTAGGATGTAGGTATGTATGTGTGTGTATGTATGTATGTATGTAAGTATGTATGTATATATATAGGTATGTATGTATGTATGTATGTATGTATGTATGTATGTATGTATGTATGTATGTATGTATGTATGTATGTATGTATGTATGTATGTATGTGTGTGTATGTATGTATGTATGTATGTATGTATGTATGTATGTATGTGTGTATATATGTATGTATGTATGTATGTATGTATGTATGTATGTATGTATGTATGTATGTATGTATGTATGTATGTACTGATAAATGAATAATGTGATCGAAGACGCCTAGGGCGAATCACCGCCGCCCCCTTCCTTTTTGGGAGTGCCTATGTGGCCGAAAGTTGGGCTAGAGTCATCTGACCATGTGCTCCCCATTTGTCGTTGAAACCTTTCGGGGGACACGTGAGGAAGAGGAGAATGACGAGAAGAAGGAAAAGGGAGTAGGAGGAGGAGGTGGAGGAAAGGAGTAGGAAAATAATAAGGAGGACGCCTCTTGGAAGCCTCTTGGGGCACTCGTGGGGTCTCCTGGGAGCTTCCTGGGGGCCTCTTGGAGGCCTCTTGGGTGCCTCCTTGGGCTTCTGGGGAGCCGTAGGGGGCTTGTTCGGGGCAGCTTGTCCGTCGTTGGGCATTGCTGGCCCGTCCGAGCTGGTCAGAAGCCGTCCTGGATGCCTGTCTGAACCGGCTTGGGATCCTCTTGAGGCGCTTCCGGGCCGTCTGGGAGGCCATTTTGGAAGTCTCTTGGGCCTCTTGGGGGCGTCTTGGGGAAGAGGGGCCGTCTTGGGGGCCATTGGGGCCGTCCTGGGGGCCATCTTGGCGGCCTCTGGGGCGCTCCGGGGGCGATCTTGGGCGCCGTCTTGGGCCGTCGAAAGGCCGAAAAGAAGCAAATGCCATAAGCCCCGAACATTTAAGGAGAATCAATCATTTTGACCTCTTCGGGCCCTCCTGGAGGAACTCTTGGAGGCCTTCCGAGCCGTCTTCAAAGCCTGTTGGGGGACTTTTGGGCAGTCTTGGGCCGTCTGTGAGGCTTCTTGTGCGGGCTTGGAAGCATCTTTGACCCGCTTGGGCCGTCTGGGAGGCCATCTTGGACAATCTTGGGCGGACTTGGGGGCCATATTGGCCGTCTTGGAGGCCATCGTGGGCCATCTTGGAGCCATCTGGAGCAGGACAAATCTTGGCAACCACCCTTGCCGGGTGGCCAGCGCGTTGTGCCGAAGCCCCAAGGGCAGTCTTTAAAGAAAACCAAGAACCTTTCAGAACGTCTTGCACGCCAGGCACTCCTGCGGCAAGCCAACAGGGGGCGGCGGATCGAATGGCCTTCGGCCCGTCCCGCCACCGTGCCTGGGTTGTAGGTTAGAGTTATTCGGGATACTTCTTCGGGTCTGTTCGGCGCGCTCTCGGGGGCATCTTGAGAGCAGTTTGGGGGCCTCTTGGATGCAGTTTGGGAACCTCTTGGGGCCTTTTGAGGGCCTCTTGGTGCCTCTTGGGGGCTCCTCGGGGCCGAGGGCTCGAAATGTCCGTTCGGGTTCCCCATCTGGGCCCCCTCTTGGGGCCGTTTTTGGGTCCTCTTGGAGCCCTCTTGGGCGCCTCTTGGGTCGTCTTGAGGCTCCCGTTGGCCGTCTTGTAGCGTCAGAAAGCCAAAAAGGCGAGAACGCCACAGTTTTTCGAGAACCTGAGGAAATACATGATTTTGGCCTCTTGGGGCCGTTTTGAGAGTCCTCTTGAAGGCCTCCGCATCTTGGGGCGTCTTGGAGGCATCCGGGGCCGTCTGGGGGCCGTCTTGAGCGTCTTGTAGCGATCGTTCGGCGACTCGGGGTCCTCTCGGACAGTTTTGGGGCCTCTTGGGGCCCTCGTGGCCCGTCTTGGAACCCCCTTGGCCCCGAACAAGTCAAGCGACACGACGCGACAACCCCCTCCAAATTTAAGAATTCGGGGTCCGGGCCCCGTACAACTTGTCCTGAGAACACGCCCACTCCGTTCCCAGTGGGACGGTGGCGCATGTAACACATGTGAACGTGATTATACTACTACTACTAATAATAATATTAATGCTAATAATAATAATAATAATGATAATAATAATACTAACAATACCAATACCAATAACAATAATAATAATAACAATAGTAATGATAATACGTATTATTATGATTGTTGTTATTATTAGTCGTATTATTATGTGTGTGCTCGCCCCCCATCCAGTATCATACATGACGCTTGTGCGCGATGCCGTTTCCCGCATCGTTCTCATCATCCTGCTCATCCTCCTCATCACCATTCTTCCGCTCCTCACCCTGCCCCCATCATCGTTGCCATGCCTCCTTCCTCATTATCCTTCTTCTCATCCTCGTCCTATCCCTCCATATCTCCCTCCTGTCTCCGTCTCCTCGCTCAGGTCTTCGATTCGTGTCTTTGATTTCTCCTCCAACTCCATCGCCGATCTCTTCATCCTTCCGCTCCTCACCCTGACCCCTTGATCGCCGATCTCTCCATCCTCCTCCAGCTCCCTCGCCGATTCTTCCGCTATCTCTTCTCGTCCTCAGCCACGGAGCCGTCAAGGGAGCGTCCGCCATGGAGCCCCCAAGGAAGAGCACGCTCGCCGACCAGCGCAAGCTGGAGGCGAACAGAGAGCGTGCGGCTAAAAAACGCGTGGCTGTTTTTTTTAACAGCCGCGCGCGCGCCGCATAATGGCGGCGGGCGAGCGCGCAGCCTTTCAGCGGCTGCGCGCGGCTGTGGAGCTACAACACAACGAAGCAGACCAACTTCGGACACTTCCCTACCCGTGTTCCATGCCGCGCGGTGTCGTTTGCTGTGCCGTGTGCGGTGCTGTGTCGGGTGCTGTGCCGTGGGCTGCGTTCTGCGCACCGTGCGTCGTGCCGTGCCGGGTGCAGCTTGTGGGTACTTGTGTGGTTCCACCGGATGCGTTCGAACAAGCACGTGCAGGCCGCACAGAAGGCGAAGAGCGACCACGAGGCGGCTTTCCAGGAGTCCAAGCGGGCCTGGGAGAAGGCCAATTAGTTGAACCTTGCTGAACTCGAGGCTTACGGTTGTGCAGCCTAAAACAGGTGTTGGTGTAGGTGCCGTGCCGTGTCGGTGTCGTCTCGGTGTTTTGCCGTGCCGTGTCGGTGCCGTGCCTTGTGGCACGTGCACTGCGCGAGTCTTGGGTTGTTCGCTCCGCAAGGGGAAGAGTCGCAGCTTGGAGGAACAGGCAAAGGCGGGCGAGGAGCTCCGCAAGGAGAGGAAGCCGCGATTGGAGGAAAAGGCAAAGGCGGGCGAGGAGCTACAGAAGACGAATCACACCATGCAAAAGGTCCGCAAGGACATGCGCTCGGCGAGGCTCCGCTATGATGCTTTGAACGGCAGCTTGTGGCAAGCGGCGCGAGGACGCCGCCCTCTGGGCGTTTTTTTCTGGCATTCGTTTTTCGGATGCCCCTACGATGCAACTTGCAACCTTTTCGGGCATCCGTTTTTCCGGGTGCCCCCGAGAGCAAGAAGCACCCGCTCCACCTTTCTCGCGTTTCATGTCCCTCTTCCTCTTTCCCTTGCCTCTCCCTGCTCCTCCTTCCTCCGCCACCGCTGCTACCCGCAATGGCGCAGAGAGGGCGGTGAGGGCGCAGCAGGAAAGGCACGAGGGCAGACGCGGCCCCAGGGGGAAAGGAGGAGGGGGGCGGAGGGAGGCGCGGCGCGCAGAAAATGGATGCCCCCGAGAGCAGGAAACACTTCTCCTTGCTTCTCAGAAGCTTCCAGCGTTTCCAGCTACTCCCAGGGAGTAGCCGCTGAAAAGAACATTGGTGTTTTCCAGCTTCTCCAGCTATCCCCATAGACCCTCCTATGACAAATTGTCTGTGCTCGATTTTCTCCAGTTTTCTGGCTTCCCCAGAGACGACCCGATGAAACAAAAGCCATGCGTTTCCATGTTTTCCCATTTTCCAGTTTGTCCCAAGACTCCCCCACTGGAAAACGCTGCGGTTTCCAGCTTTTACAGCTTTTCCGTTGCTTACAGAGAGCACCATTGGAACACATTGGTGTTTTCCTAGTTGTTCCAGTTTTTCCCAGACACTGCCCCATTGAAAGACGCGCTGCATCCCGTTGTTCCAGCTTTTTCCCAGAGACCCCCCGATGGCAACCGCTATGTTTTCCAGCTGCTCTAGCTTTCCCAGCTGTTCTCAAATACTACCCCATTGAAAAACGCTGCGTTACCCAGCTGTTCCAGCTTTTTCCAGAGAGTACCCGTTGGCAAACGCTGTGTGCTTCCAGCTTTTCCAGCTTGTTCACACGTTCCCATTATGTAAAACAGGTAGTCTCTGGGAAAGGCTGGAAAAGGTGGAAACACAACATTGTTCATCGGGTAGCCTTTGGGGAAAGCTGAAGAAGTTGGACACGCTGGAAAACAACTTTTTTCAGCGGGTAGTCTCTGGGAAAAGCTGGAAAAGGTGGAAAAGCTAAACACACATGGTTGTTCATGTGGTACTTTCTGGGGGAACTTAGGAAAGCGGGAACAACTGGACAACAATCATCCTGGTAATGCTTGGAAAAAGTAGGGGCGCTTGGACATGTGAGAAAACAGTGTTTTCATATGGTAGTGTCTGAGAACAATTGGAGGAAGCAGGAGAAGTTGGAAGCACACAGCGTTTTCATCATGCTGGACAAGCTAGACACAGCGTTTGTTTCATCGGGTCGTCTCTTGGAAAAGCCGAAGGGAACAGCTGGAAAGACTGGAACAGCTGGAAAACACGCGCTTCCCAATGGCAGGAAGAGAGAGAGAGAGAGAGAGAGAGAAAAAAAAAAAAAAAAAAGGAAGAGGAGGAAACATAACAAAAGAGGAACATGATGATGTGTGTGTGTATTTATACACATGCATACACATATACATACATGCATAACTACCGACATACATACGTACGTCCATACATTTATATGTGTATATATATATGTATGCTTATATACGTGTGCACATATACCTCTACGACCACCCTTCGGGTGATAAAGAGGTTCGGGGGGGACCGACGACTCACTCGATCGGTCTCACGATCGATCTCACTATCGATCTCACTATCGGTCTCGTTCGATCGATCTCACTCGATGGATCTCACAATTGATATCACTCGATCTATCTCATTCGATCGATCTCACAATCGATCCGATGATCGATCTCACAATCGACATCACTATCGATCTCACTATCGATCTCACAATCGATCTCACATTCGGTCTTACTATCGATATCACAACCGATATCACCATGAACGTCATCAGCATCATCCCCATCAACATCAGTGTCATCAACGTCATCATCATCATCGTCACTGGGACACCATCATCATCACCATCACATCATCACCATTATCATCAACACCACCATCAACATCATTGGGACACCATCATCATCAACATCATCACCACCCTGCACACCATCACCATCATCATCATCGGAACACCACCATCATCATCTCATCATCATGATCATGAAAACATCATCAACATAATCATCGGGACACTATCATCATCATTAGCAACACCAGACACATCAACATCATCATCACCATCATCGGAACGCCATCATCATCGTCACCATCAGCACCACCACCATCATCAACACCATCGGGACATCACCATCATCATCAACATCAGCATCATCATCGCCATCATTGGGCAACCATCATCAAAATCATCACCACCACATCATCATCCTCAGCATCAACATCATCATCACCATCGGGACACCATCATCGTCATCATCATCATGATCATCAGCATCATCGGGGCACCATCATCATCATCACCACCATCACCAACAGCATCGTCATCAACCTCATCATCATCGTCATCGGGACACCATCATCATCAGCACCATCAAATCATCTGATCACCATCAGCATCATCAGGACCATCAACATCATCATCATCGGGGCACTATCATCATCATCAGCATCAGCATCAGCATTAGCAGCATCATCATCACCACCATCATCATCATCAACATTGCCAACATCATCATCATCATCGGGACACCATCATTATCACCACCATTACCATCATCACCATCATCAGCATCATCATCATCATCGGGACACCGACGGAACACCGGCGGGACACCGGCGGGACACCGCGCGCCACCGGCCCCCGAGCGGGATACCGGCGGGACACCGCGGGGCACCAGTTGCCGGAACGGGGACTTTTGGTCCGGCCGCGCCTCAGCTACAGGAGACTTATTTCTTGCCCGCCCACGCAGCTTCGCCTTGCCCGCACGCGCGGCACGCACGAACACGAAACCGAAACCGATTTCCAGGTAGGGGGGCTCTCCGTTCCATTTCGATCTCACCCCTTCACCTCCGATACACATACACACACACACACTTCAGAAACCCTGGGGCCACTGATACATACTGAGTCCACCTCCAACCCATAGGGCCTCCTCGGGGCCTTCCTTGAGCTTCCCCGGGGTTCCTGGCCCCCCAGGAGCTTCTGGATGGATTCCACATAGATTCCAGACGGGCCAACGTGTCTTCTGGACGACCCCAGATGGCGTCAAGACGGCGCCTTGGGCGTATGGGTCCCATCGTGTTTCCTCCACTTTCTGGAGTACCCCCCCGAACACGGGAAATTGACGATCCAAACGGTGACTTCGGGTTGGGTTGGGGTGACCTGGCAGGTAGTCAGATGGCGCATCGTTCTCAAACCCCCGGAGCCGAATAGATGTGCACCGTACTGCGTGGGAGCGGAGTCCATGCACGGCGCGCTGCACGAAAGCCGTTCTCCTCCAGAGGCGGGAGCTCGCGCGCCAGGCGTGCGGGCGCCCCTTCCGCCGGCTCTCATGGTAAGGAGGAGTAGTTCTCCACGGTTGCCGTTGCATCTTTGCCCCGCTGGCACATCTTTTGCGACTTTCGCTGGCCAGCCTCATTCGAAAATCGTTAACATGGCCTTTCAAGGCCCTTCCATCCGTGCCGCGCATCCATCTCATGCGGGTTGACTGTAGCTGCGCTGATGCGCCCGTGTTGAAACGCAAGACGTATTGTGTTCAAAACGACCGTGCCCACAAGTTGCGTGTTAGCTCAGCGTGTTGGCGCACGTCTGTGGCGAACGCACTGCGCCAAACGTGTGCCTTCAGCCTCCGTGTTGAGCTCTGTGTCAATCAACACGCTACGGGCTACGCGTTGCGCACTGGGGCAGCTAAGGCCTGCACTCGCCGCCGTGGTCCGCGGGTGGAAAGGGCGGGGCGCAGGCCGGCGGCCCCCCCCAATGTGCCTTATATCACCGTTGTTTTGCTCGCCGCTTCGCGATCTTGGGGGGGGGGAGGAGGAGTTTTCACTGAGTCGGCTTCGCGGCGCGCAAGCTTCGCGAAAATGGTTGGCGCGGGGAGCCAGGGGCTCGGGCGTCAGTCAAGGGGCGGCGACAAATATGGCGGGGCGGCGAATTTTGAGCCTTTTGCGCCCTAGATTGGCTCTAAAGAGGGCCCTGGGGTTCAAGAGAAACACCACAGGTGTACGCTTCTTCCCCCCCCATTTATCGCCCCCCGTCCACCTGGCCCCCGCGGCCCCCCACGAGCCGGGCGGGGCGAGGCGGCAGTTCGGACGCGGCTGGCGCGCGGAGCCTGCGGGCACCCATAGCCGCCACGAGCTAAAGCCGGGTGAGACGAAAGCGCAACCGATCCCCATCCCCGCCGGTCCATGCCATTTGGGCCCCACCACCCCTCCACCCCAGTTGGGGATCGGCCCGTCGGGACCCGAAGGGCACAGCCTCTATATTTCCATCTAGGGGGGTACAGTGGCCAGGGGGCCCAGGCCACGCCAGATAGGGACCGTTGAATCGTGCCCGATCTTCCAGGTCCTCGTCGGAGAACAGGCACACCTCGGCACGGCCGCAGCCCTCCTCGGACCGCCCGGGCCATAGGGCCTCCCTCCGCGCTGCGGCCCCCCCGGGCGAGGCCGCCTCCCTGCAGGGGCCAGCGCCATCCCGGCGACGTCGGGTCCCTCTGGAGCCGTCCGACATGGCAGCGTCGCCTTGGGAGCCGTTGTAGCCGCCGCGCTGGGACCCTCTCTCCTCCATTTCGCCTCACCCGCCTTCCTCGGGGTCAGCGACGCCACTCTTTCTCTCTTCCTGCCCATTCTTCTCGCGTTTTTACCTAACAGCTTTTGCTGATAGGTTTCTAGTGGTCTCAAAAGAGAGCAGCAGATGACTCCACAGGGGGGTCGGGGCGGGACCCGGGGCGGCTGCCGTCGAAGCCCAAATCGCTTGGGACATCCTCGCAAAATCGCTCTTGGCGCTGCTAGAACTCCATTCCCGGGCGTACATTTTGGATGCCCGGAGCCAACTGTAGGCCACTTCGTGCTCTTCGAGTTCCCAGAACTCCATTCCCGGGCCACATTTTGGATGCCCGGAGCCAACTGTAGGCCACTTCGTGGTCTTCGAGTTCCCAGAACTCCATTCCCGGGCCACATTTTGGATGCCCGGAGCCAACTGTAGGCCACTTCGTGGTCTTCGAGTTCCCAGAACTCCATTCCTGGGCATGATTTTGAATGCCCGGAGCCAACTGTAGGCCACTTCGTGTTCTTCGAGTTCCCAGAACTCCATTCCCGGGCCACATTTTGAATGCTGAGGCAGGCTGATGCTGAGGCTGAGGCAGGCTGAGGCTGAGGCAGGCTGAGGCTGAGGCCGAGGCTGAAGGCAGACTGAGGCTGAGGCTGAAGCAGGCTGAGGCTGAGGCTGAGGCAGGCTGATGCTGAGGCAGGCTGAGGCTGAGGCTGAGGCTGATGCAGGCTGAGGCTGAGGCAGGCTGAGGCTGAGGCCGAGGCTGAAGGCAGACTGAGGCTGAGGCTGAAGCAGGCTGAGGCTGAGGCTGAGGCAGGCTGAGGCTGAGGCTGAGGCAGGCTGAGGCTGAGGCTGTGACTGTGACTGCCGTTGCCACTGCGACTGTCATCGCGAATGCGACTACGACTGCGAGAACAGCAGAATTCTACAACTGGGTTCTCATCTGAATCTTAAGGGGAATGCTTCCAGATATGCTCCTACACATCGCTGTTAGGTTGCTTTGCCGGGATAATCCTTTTCTTGGAGGAGCTCCGGCTCCGCACCGTTCTCCTCATGCCGTTCTCGACCACCTGCCACGCCCCCCACCCCTCTCTCCCAATTTCCTCCCCCCCATGGAGGACAGTAATGGAAGCATTGATGTGGATGAGCTGGATGCCTGCTTCAAGTCCAAGGGCATCCACATCAGCCGCGCCGAGATCCAGACGGTGATGCAGGCCTCGCTGCAAGTTCTCTGGCATTGCCGCAGCCGCTCCCGTCCTCGGTCGGGATCTGTATGTGGTGCTCGGCTGGCCTGGAAAAAATGAGCTGGCGGGCTTGTGATCGTGGGAGAGGGGCACGCTAAGATGTCTTCGGCGACATTGGCGGTTCAGTCTAGTAGTCGACGTTTAAAGCCATGTCGTGACGATCGCTTGGCAGGTACAAGACAGGGCCTCTTCGTAGTATCACTCCAATCCCCAATGGGTTCGAATGGCCAAGACCACGTGGCTTGAAGACGAGAGGATCATGCAAGAGCGATCTGGCTGCAGGTCAAGACAAACCGCGGGAACCCTGCAGGAGTTTAACCTTGACCACAGGAGTCTTGTATTATCCAGAAGAAGGGCAATACAGGACTCAGAGGCCTGCTGATCTCTCGGGCGCATGTGCCTGCTGAGGCTCGCAAGCAAACAGGCTGTTCTTGTGACCGCGGTGCACTGCGTCAGAGGTGTACCGCGCGACACCGTCTCGCCACAAGAGGAGCGGTCGCTCCGTGCCTCCGTGCACTTCGGCCTCCCCTTTCCCACGGTCCCTCGGTGTTGCGCCGATCGCTCGCTCCTCCCTCTGCGATCCTCTCATGCCCCGGGCCGCTTAGCCTGCGTGGGCGGCTTCTGACGACAGCGGCCCTCTCAGAGTGGGCCCGCGCTTTGCTCGTCGTGCGCGTAATTCGGCCATATCGCGCCGTCTTCTGGGGGACGTTGGGCATGGCAGCAGTCACGGAAATCAGTCACCAGCTCGAGACAATTTTCAGCTTGAGGCGTCTGGGAGCCGCGTGCACGTTCGCGGGTGCTCCTGCTGTGGAGCCAGCACCGAACTTGCCTGACCGCAGCTCTTGGGACCAGTCCGCAACACATACACACAAACACACACAAACATACACACACACGCACACGCACACACACACACAAACACACACACACACACTCACACACACACATGCACACACGCACACACGCACACACACACACACCTGCCGATGACCCGTAGGCCCAAACGTCAGCCGCCACAATAGGGCGGGTGCAGATGGGGTCGGAGGATCGCGCTGCATCGCCGATGCATCGGCGAGGCGATGCGGCTCTATTCGGAACCCGATGTTCTTCATCCCGACGTGGCCGATGCATCCATCGGCGGTGCGGTACGTTCCTCGGACTCCATCTACTGACTCCATTTACTCCAGCCCCTTTAGGGCGGGTCCCATCAACGAGACCCCTCTGGGGTCACACGAATCCGCGAACCCCCATTGACCCAAGCTTTCGACCCCATCTTGGGCAGTGCAGTTGCCCAGTTGACTCAGCTGGGGCTGGGTAAGCCTCGCTTTGCTCTTTCTCTTCCTTCCTCCTCCCTTTTGGGTGAACTTCGGTCCGTCGCCCTCGAGAGAGCCCACGCTCAGCCTCGGCCGAGGAGGCCAATCTCATGTAGCGCCGCGGCGAGGTATGGTGAGATAGGGGAGATGGTCGGAGCTAGCCTGATATGACAATTAGGGCGGAGAAGAGACAGGGAAAGGAGTGGAGGAGAAAGGGGGTGTATGTGCACTGATGCAGGCTAGGATCGGCTGGCCTATGCTGGTCCAAGTCATCTCGCTCCTCGATCTTGAAACCAAGGTCCCCCTGTTCTGATAACTGAAGCACGTGCAGACTAAGCTCGAGCAAGCCAACATCGGCTCAGAAATGCGGTTGTGCGCTACATTGGAGTTTGTTGAACCGGTGTGCGCGGCAGCTTTCACCATGTACGCTCTGTCACCCTACTTTTGAAACTAACATTATCCAAGACGTACCCAACCCCTTCTCCACGCGAGGCGGATATTTGCATAAACGCTCCGAGCGCGCATGGGGCAGCGTGGCCGGCCCGGCCCTTGAGGCCGCAATGGCCCACCACGCTCGGCAGGAGCGCAGTATCACCCTCGTCCCCGCCTCCCCCCCCCTCTCCCGCGTGATGTCGCTTTGGCAGTGCTGGCCGGCAGGACGGCGTGTCCGCTCAGGGCCCCATCGGAATCGCTCGGTGCGAGCGCGCTTTCCCCTCCCCTCCTTCTCACTTTCCTCTTCCTGCCCCCCCCCTCCTGCCCCCAATTAGTGGTTTTTGTTCCACTTTCTGCACAGGCAGGGTGTGCAAGCGGTACTGCAGCCGCTGCTGGCCGGCTCCGGTCTGTCTGATCGGCCCGGGCTCGCACACCAGTCGCCGCTGAACGGCTCCGCGCCCGGCCAGGCACCGCAGTGCCCAACCACATAGTTTCTATCTGAAGTTTGCGAGTGCATGCACCCAACGTTTCACGTTCCGCTTTGTCTCTTCCCCCCTCCCCATAATCCCGCCGTCGGCGTGGTTGGATCCTGGGCATGTCTGTCTCACTTGCGATTGGCGGGGGGTTTGAGAGGATAGGTACTGCAATACCTCTCTTTGATTGTTCTTGTGTCGGGCCTTATGATATAATTGGTCGTCTTGACCATGGGGGATGCGCGCACAACGCCAGCTTTCATCTTCTCCTCGTCGTCGTCGTCGTCCTCCCCCTCCTCCTCCTCCCCCTTTAAAGGCTCGTCCCGGACCTGCGGGATGTCCGAAAACACCGTGTCCATGAGATATGCGTCTGCCTCGCTGCCCCAGTCCAGGGTTTTTGCTTCGGGCCTGGCGGGTAGCACGCGGGCGCGTGCATTTGGCAGCCAGCGGCCTGACTTGAGACATCGAGTTGTGGACATTGGCTGGTGCTTCGTGTAAAAAATAAACACTCCATACAAAAGAACACTTCGACAGATATACATGATCAGGGCTGCCCTCATCTTCGCCGTACCTCGCAGGAGCCCACGAGCGTAGCGACAGTTGCGCAATTCGTAACCTTCCAGGGAGCTGCCAGGTCTCGGCCGGATCCGCGCGGCCCCCGACTCCGCTGGACCTCCCAGGAGCCGACGAAAGTGGCGACGGTTGCGCAGTTCGCAGCCACTCAGGGAGTTGCGAGGTCTCGGGTACTCCGCTATTCCGCCGTGCCTTCGAGGAGCCCACGAAAGATGCGCCAGTCGTGCAGTGCGCAGCTTGATCGAGGTTTCGGGTACTCCGCTACTCCGGCGTGCTTCCTAGGGGCCCACGAAAGTGGCGACAACGAAGCAGTTCGACGCCACCCAGGCAGCAGCGAGGTCTCGGACACTTTGCTACTCCGCCGTGCTCCTCAGGAGCCCGCGAAAGTGGAGACGCTTGCGCAGTTCGCAGCCATCTAGGGAGCTGCGAGGTCTCGGGTACTCCGCTATTCCGCCGTGCCTTCCAGGAGCCCACGAAAGTTGCACGGTTGTGCACTTCGCAGCTTGATCGAGGTTTCGGGTACTCCGCTACTCCGGCGTGCTTCTTAGGGGCCCACGAAAGTGGCGACAACGAAGCAGTTCGACGCCACCCAGGCAGCAGCGCAGGAGGAGGCAGGAAGAGGTGGGATGAGAAGGAGGGGGGAAGAGAAGAGGGAGGAGGAGCATGAGGAGGAGGATAAGGATAAGGATAAGGCCCTTGGGGGTCTGTCAACTTCGCCTACCGACAGGCATGCCGACCCCTGGGGAAAACATGGATGCGTGCCCCGAGCCACCTGTATGCTGTGGGGGGCCGCCTGGGGCGACGGGGCCCGCCCCCGTTGGGGCGTGGTCCCCGAGCCCCGTTAGCAGGGGAACCCTGCCTCGGTTAGGCGCTGATGCTGGTGCAGGCGGAGGGGAGCTGCTTCACTCTGTGGGCGCCCCCCCCGCCGCTGAGAGCCCACCCACCCTCGCTCCCCACTCCTCCCACCACTCCCTCAAGGCGGCAAGAAAAAGAGAGACAACAAAAAAAGAAGGGCGGCCTTGTACTCGTCCCATCCCCTACCCTCGCCTGATCACACATGTCTCTCGGCAGAGATATGGAAATGGCGTGGCCGCACTGGCCCACGCGTGGAATGCTATACTGCCTGTCGAGCATGTGATGCTCTCTCTGAGGGAATACAAAAAAACAATGCCTGAAGCGATGGGACCAGCTCTCAGCTCACGACATCCCGATGCCCCAGCCTGCCGCAGCCGCTGCCCTTGGCGACGAGAGTCGCACGTCCCTGCTCTGAGCTGCGCCTGCGTCGTGGTCGGCCTTAGTAGCGGCGACTGGGGCCTCGGCCACGACCACACCACGGCTCTCCCAGCCCTGCACGCTCTTGCTCGGACTCGGGCATGGCGGCCTGCGCGCGGGCTGGAGGAGGTCCTGCTTCTCCGTCTCCGCCGCCGTCGCTGCCGTCGCACTCTGGGTGGAGAAGAAGGCCTCGTCGTAGGCGTAGCCCTGCGGGCCTTTGGTCCAGCGGGTGTAGATGTGGTCGATCTCATCCACCTGGCGCCTCATGTAGTCGAGTTCCCACGGCATCGGTCCGTGCACCATCTTGCCGAGCTTGTCGTCCGTGATGCCGATCTCGCTCCTCAACGCGCTGATGGCGTGGTGGATGTCGCGCAGCTGCTCCTTGAGGTAGTGCTTTGCCTGGCTGCGTTCAGCTTCTTCATGTGGGTTGAGGCTCCTGCCGTTCATGCGCCCAAGCGTGGTCGCCACCCTCTCCCTCTGCTTGTGAAGGACGTGGAGTGCCATCTCGCTGTGCTTGGTCGCCCCCTTGAACGCCTCGGACGTGCTCTGGAGTGTGTTGTGCGCGATCTCCAGCCTGTACGCCGCCGTGCCCGTGACCTGGTCAGCCACTCCGTAGCCCCCCCTGTCGTGTGGCTTCTGCACTACCGTGGGCTGCGGGTTGAGCTCAGTCGCAGCTGCAGCTGGCTGCTGCTCCGTCGCCCCCACTTGCTCCGCCATGGTCGCCTGCGCCGCCATTGCTGCCCAGGTCGTGAGTCCACGAGAAAACCAGGCCCTGGATGTCGCGAGAAAGCTCGAGTCGTAAATGTCCGCTGGTAGTATGTCGGACTGGGTACTAGGCTTCGTTTTACCTTAGTTGACCCCGCCTAGCTGTTGTTTGCCTTAGGTAATGTAGTAGTTTCCTTAGTTC